AGAGAGACTGAATCTGGATGCTTGGCGCACTGGGGCCTAGATTCATATACCCCGAGTATTTGAGGCATTGAGAGTATACGTTTTGAGAATGTGAACTCTCGGGGAGGTGTGAGGGTCACCTCCCAGTCATGACTATATTGATTAGAATGGCTCATAGTTGATGTGATAAGCCAAGGCTTGAAGAATCCAATCGAGAATAATAGAACCTAAGTATTTAAAAGAGTATTCACCCTGTATGGAATGGTCGGCTCATAGGACATGAGCCCATATCCTGACACGAGACTTTTCCATGGCATGTGCACCCCACAGTCGTTTGGGGAAGCCACTCTTCTATAGTATTATCCGACTTAGAAGTGCTAGTGCACATGTGTTTTGACAGGACCCCTGTATTTGAATAAGAACATGCCCCACAGGGGTGCACCAGTAATCCATTGAACCCCCGGTGACGGGAAGCTCTGGCTTGGTGACTTTGATGTGAGCAATTATGTTTCCTTGCCATAGACTGTGGAGCATAGGTTCATTAGATCGGCTTGAAACACCGGTAGAATGTCATTTGGGTTAGCTCAATGGTAGACTCCGACTAGTGTTATAAGTCTAGATATCTCATTTAACTTTGGCCCAAATTAATCTAAAATTGATGAGAAAATATTTTATATTGATGAGAAATTGTGTAATAATGTTGAGAAATCATTTAGAGAATTTTTTTGGGATTATTGGAGAATTTTTTAAATGTTTTAAACAATAAAAAATGTGATTTTCAAATTTGTTTGACATAAATACCAAACAAGGACATCCTATGGGGATGCCACATGGATCTCAAGTGGCCATAGGGATGCCACATGGCACTGCCACCTCCCCACTCGTGGATGACATCTTGCTGACATCACATCCATGTGGGGACCTATTTGTCATTAATTCTTTTGTTGGCATTATGTTATAACATGTTATCTTGTTATTTAAAGTGTTATATATTGTCATGCCTTCAGTTTGATTTAAGTCACATGTTTTTTTCTTGCTCATATGTGCCATTTTTGGTATGTGTGAAGTCATGGGATTTGGAGAATTAATTTAATTCATATTATTATCCACATACATTTTTGTAGCATGTGGGTATATCTTATGTGGCACCACCTTATGGGCTTGGCCCATGTGAAACTTTAGTGTTGTTAAAATCCTATTGGTTGTGTGATAAGATATTTTATTCACATGTGTGGATGTCTCTTATTGCCTTTATGTCTATGTTCTTGTATTTTATTGACTCTCAAAAATTATTTAAAAACCATGGGCATAAATGTAAACATGAATTTGGACTTAATGAGAAATAAAACATGGAGCTAAGGGCTTCCAGGTAAAATGACTATAAACCTAGGTTTTAAGGAATGAAGGGTGTCAAAAGCTCATCCATTGATATTGGTGATGTGATATGGATGAGTGGCTTGGATAAAAGCCTCTCATGTACCATTGATCTAAGGCATCAAGGATAAAGATCAAATCCATCTTTATGATCTAAGATAAAAGTAACTTATGGGATTAATTATCTATAGAGCCTTCCTCGCACAACATCTTTCACCCATTACTTTAATGCTTGGTTTCACTCAATTAGAGCCACAATCCCAAGAGTGCAAAAATATGAGTCAATAAACACATGAATATATGAGAGTGGAAATCAAAAAACCAAGCGGCAAGGCTTTAATGGTGATTTATTCGGCTTCCAATGCACTCATGCCATACGAATTACACTGTTCTTCATAGTACATGTACATGTTTGACCTTTGCCCCGATAGAGCTTTTGTAATACTTTATATTTTGTATCTCTTTTCTTTTGTGCTTCTTATACTTGGAATATTGGATTTCTGTTCGTTTCCTATATTTTAATGGAAATTGCTAAATGCCTTCTTTTTGTTGAAAATGCAATTAGTGGAATATTGAAGCGAGCTTCTAATGGGGAGGGAGCCTCCAATGGGTCACTTTTAGTATCAGAATGTTGGTCCACTTTTTGGGCATTGTCGTAAATTTGGTGCAATTATTTTTTGTGCATGGATCTTTGATACTGCAAACATGAAGAAAACACCCAATTTACTCATTTAAAAAACAGATCAGAAAGGGAAAAAAAAAGACGGAACTATAAATCAAGACGAAATATCTTGTTAATGCTTTTGGAATGACTGCTTCAAATAGACACAAGTATAACTTGAAATTTTTCATTAATGTTAACTAATGGTTTTCATATCCCGCTGGGCTTGGAAGACCTCACCTTGTTGCGGGACCTCACATTGTTCAATAAATACATATTGAACAATGAGTCTGTACTTTTACAAATAAACCCATGTATTCCATATGATCCTTCAAAGCCAACAAATCACATTTAGTTAATCACTTTACATAATATCAATCTTCAAAGTTCTATTAAGGTTTCTCGATCCATACGAGACTATGTTATTTCTGCCAAAGAGCCCTCAATACCAAAAGTACTGCATGGATCTTTTAATTGTCTCCTTATTTGTTTCATGTGATATCCAAAAAACATGCAAGTCTAGTGCTTCTCTTTGCAGCTCCAAAAATTCAGCTTGATCATTTCATTATTTTCACCGTGGTTGGTGGTGAATCCAATCTCTATTGAGGCTTGGGTCTCAAACCTTGAAGATCTACGACTGTTTTTGGGTCAAGGTTTTAACTAGTTCTTCATGAGCTTTGGTCCTTTGATTTTTCATTCGTTCCTTTTTTTTTTTGGGACAAGGGTTTGACTAGTTCTTCATGAGATCTTGATCCAGCTTGGATTTTTTTCACCATTTCGATTGATTAGTTATTGGAACTTAGCTGGGTCACCAGCCCAAGCCCTTATGGAGCAGTGGTACTTTGGTACACCCCTCTTGAAAGATGGATAATGTGACTGGGCAAGTCACTACCATTTAAATTTTTCTATTTTTTCTTATTGTATTGCCACCCGAATCACTCACAAATGTCTTATACAATATGAACCAAATAAAATTGCCAAGAACTCTCACTTGCTTGCCATTAAAATTAAAATACATTCCAAATATAGATCTGGAAATAAAGATGCAATAGAATCAAAAGAACATAAACTAAGAGAATACCTTATACCTTACCTCAGGTTACCCCAACGACTTAGGACACCCCACACCGCGTCTCATCCACAACGACACACAGGATCTAAGTCGAAAAACTTGTTTCACAAATTTGGGAAGCCTAGGCAAAAACTAGGAGAGAGCATAACATAATATATGCTTGACCAAGGCTCAACATCTGAACATAAGGCCAAGACCTAGGGCTAGGCTATGTGGCTTGGGCGTGCCACCCCTTGGCTTAGTTTTCTTTCCTAAACCCTAAAGTTTGGAGAGAGAATAAGAGAGAGATATTTAGAGAGTGGCGTGTTACTCCTTCAGGCACAGAGACAGAGAGATCAAGTGTAGAGAATGAGCCCCACCCATAGCCAGTTTATATAGAATAAAGGCCAGGGTTCCTGGGGTTAGGGTCTTGCCATTTTTGTGAGACTTAATCTCGACCTTTGATCTTGGAGATATGTGGGGTGAAGGGATCTCATCCGTTATTATTTAGATCAGCCATTATGATTAAAAGGATGAGATAAAACTATTATCCCTCAGTTTTCATAACTCCATTCCCATCAAATATTATATAGAGAAAGTGATAAATTAATCACAGTTAATTTCTTTATATCTTCTTATTTTGAAATCAATCACAATTAATTTCTTACACCTCCCTATTTTGAAATCAATCAAAATTGCTGCACAAAAGGTTTCCTAAAATATCAAGTTAACATATGGCATAATTGCCATCTTTCATTTTAGGAAAGTTTGGAGGAGGTGGGGTGCACCATCCATAGGGTGGCCATGTGGGCCCCACGTCCCATAATATAGTGGGCCCAATGTACCCCAATAGGCCCCAAATACTTAAACGTTATTTTAAATAATAAAATAATTTTATAAAATCTCAAACATTTTATTTTTCTCTCTGATTAAAATAAATCCAGAAAATTGATTTTTTCTTAGTTAAAAATCATTTCTCAATAAAATAAAATACTTAGAGAGGTCTAAAAATTTATTTTAATTATCTAAAAAATAATTACATATTTAAACATATCTAAGAAGATTTGATGTGAAGGATCGATCAAGTTAGGATTACGACAAATATACTGAGGACTCATCCTCTCTAGAGTCCGTATCTCACTGCACAACCTCTCACAAGGGTTCATGATTGGACTATCAAATTCAGCCAATAAAGTGAAGGAGATACGATTCTAGACCATAGATTACAGGTTCGTCCTTGAGGACAAGTCCATACCCCATTTCAGCAATATGCTCCATGGGTCCTTCCAACACAGTTTGCTGTTGTAGGGAATCATCTCTTTTACACATGTACATGTCACACACCCTTATCTAAAAGGGCCACTTCCCGGACGGCTATCTAGTGTACATGCCGTGTGATGGTAATGTTGAGGATTTAGGCCCATGTTCTTTCAAGCCATCAATCACGCACAAGGGTAATGATGGGAGTGATTTTGATTTTATGGTGTTAGCATTTTAGACACTTGGTAAAATAAAAAGCTGTATTACTAGAAAAGCTCATCCACCCTCATTTTTCTTACATACTCGTTTGCTTTTTTTTAGAGAGAGAAACTCTTTACTACGATTCTCTTGTTGCACTCTTGCTCTTCAAACTAGTATTAGGCTTTCTTCCACACTAATCTATATATATGAGGGTTTAACTTGAAATGTACATTCAGTTGTTTTCTCCATTTTTCACTTTCATATCTCAACTTTTGTTTTGTTTTGTCCTTTTATTTTTCTTATTTTTGGTTTTGTTTTTTTTTTAATATGGTTGTCTTTATAGTCCATTTTCTCATATTTCAAGTTGTTTCTCATATTTTATTTTTCTTCCTATTTTTTCCCTTGAGGAATTATTTAGGCTGGATTTGTGTTTCTGCTTGACTGGTTTTAAGGCGTTCTTGCTTCCTTGTGCAGATAAGTAGTCAAGATCCCTTGTCTAGTACTCGGCAACACTGGAAAGATAACTCTTCTACATAAGTTGAAGAATGAGGTAATATTCTTGCTATGGGTTTTATTTATTTGATGTTTTTTGTCTTTTTGCATTATTTATTGATTTGTGCATTCTTTTGCATGGTTTATTTCAAATCTTGTTTTTGATGTACAAAGAAAAGAATTATTTGTATTGGTCATTCATTTGTGAGTCAGTAATCCAGAGCTTTCTTATAATAAGCACTTGAAAGAGACAAACTGCTTGTTCCTACTACGCAATGTGCCTGCCAAACCTGTCCACTTGTGCCCATCTTCCGGGATTCCTCCAATTCCTCCCTGCTGCACCATAATGCTTGGAATACGTACTAAAAACATTCAAAATGAGAAGATGATAATATCTAGTCACTCCAAACATAGAAAATTGAAACAAAAAAATGAGCATTAGCAAGAGAAATAATGTTGCTTATTAGCAGTCACAATGTCAGGTTACTAAAGGCTAGCAAGTCTATAGCATACGAAGATGGATTGATTTTGGCATTACTAAAAAGCATTGCATTTGGCCTAAAGCCTAGTGAAATTTTTTTTCACGGTACAATCACAACAAAGTACAACCATTATCTTTTGGAGTCCGCATAGCGTGGCTGAACATGAGCCATGTGTATGCAATCTGATGGGCTTCCCACAAATTGTATAATAAATTCACAAACCACTTTGACAAACTTCAGTTCTGAGCTAGGCCAAGTAGTTTTATAGCTATGTGCATTCTATTTCATTTTAGGTGCACATTAAGAAATAACCAACATCATATGACGGTGTCAAACATGGAGGCATTGTCCTGTTCACATCTTGAAATTTCAGACATGAACACCTATGGTTTGACATGTTTGCCCCCATAAGTTTTGACATGTGTCTAGAAGTTGAACAACCATTTTCATATATGGGATGCATGTATTTGCTTTTTTATGTTAATTTTTCTTATTTACTTTTGACAATTTTTATTATGTATATTTCTTTTTACAGCTTTGAATTTGTCTTCCATCTTACATCTCATCTATGTGATTCATCACATAGGAATATTTGTTGAGGCATGTTTCAACATTCAACCATATGCATATTTGAATTGGGTCCCTCACTTCACTAATAAGAATTAACATGTCACTTCATATTTGAATTGGGTCCAAATCATTGTTAGCACTTAGCAGCCTTTGTACTTGCATCAAATAAAACTCACATGACATGAAAATTCTGTAAGCTCCCCAAAACAGAGGAACAAAGTAATTAGGTCCGAATTGTTTCAGCATTCATGCAGGTTGAACTGGACAAGATATTGTGTCTCATTTTTGTCTAAGATGCCCTTTTGTAGGGATTGTAGTTTCTTCAAATTTAGTCATCTCGTGCATTATTTGTGAGATTCATTTATGTTTGGAGCTCAATTTTTCTTGTACCTGAATTGAGGTCTGCTCTTCAAACTAGCAAACTTTTTGGGAGAGGTGCAACTATGCAGTGGAAGACCCTAACAGCCTCACTATTCTTCAAGCTACTATCAAACCATTCAAGTTTTATGTTCTACAATGTGACTTTATGTTTCTAATGGCCAACCTCAATACGGATTGTGACATACATGACTAGATTGATTTCAAGTTAATTAAACCTTGGTAATGCAAATTCCATAATATTGTCTTATAGGTTATATCATGTTAATCATATTTCTATCTCAAACTCTAATTTACGTGGAGAACTTAATGTCTTCTGATTTAGGAAATAGGACAAAGGAGCTGTGGTCAAGTGTAAAGAGGCGCGTAGGTAGTGATAGTTGAGTTGACTGCATGGTTGCTTGAGAACTTTCAAGCCTGGTCATGGAGTGAGGTACTGCTTGCTTGCATCACCACCATGATTTGATATTCATTCGGGGAGGTCTGAAATAGGTGGACGGACGATCTGTGGGAATGGAAAGATGCTTTTTTCTTTTTGGTGTTGGAAGCTGTTGGAAGAGGTAGGTAGTGATAGTTGAGTTGACTGCATGGTTGCTTGAGAACTTTCAAGCCTGGTCATGGAGTGAGGTACTACTTGCTTGCATCACCACCATGATTTGATATTCATTCGGGGAGGTCTGAAATAGGTGGACGGACGATCTGTGGGAATGGAAAGATGCTTTTTTCTTTTTGGTGTTGGAAGCTGTTTGAAGAGGAAGGGACAGTGAGGCTGCAAGGGTAGTGAACCAAAAGGATAGGTTGTGGATGGTATGGTTGGGAAATGCTGCGGGTTGAGTGGGAGGAAAGGCTAGGTTCTGGTTGGGGAGATTTTGACAATTTATATTATTTATATTTTTTTTTATAGCTTTTGAATTTGTCTTCCATCGTATGTCTCATCCGTGTAATTCATCACATGAGAATATTTGTTGAGGCCTGTTTCAACATTCAACCAAATGCATATGGGAATTGGGTCCTTCACTTCATTAATAAGAATTAACATGTCACTTCATGTGAATTGTTGTTTTATGTGAACTTAATCTCAGTTTAAGATGAATCTTCTCTTGAGTCACCTTCCAAATCATTATTAGCACTTAGCAGCCTTTGTACTTGCATCAAATAAAACTCATATGGCATGAAAATTTTGCTAGCCCCCCAAAACAAAGGAACACAGTAATTAGGTCCAAATTGTTCCAGCATTCTTGCAGGTTGAACTGTTGTCTCATTTTTGTCTAAGATGCCCTTTTGCAGGGATTGTAGTTTCTTCAAATTTAGTTAACTCGTGCATTATTTGTGAAATTATTTACGTTTGGAGCTCAATTTTATCGAACTTGTACTTGAATTGAGGTCTGCTCTTCAAACTAGCAAACGTTTTGGGAGAGGTTCAACTATGCAGTGGAAGACCCTAAACAACATCACTATTCTTCAAGCTACTATCAAACCATTCCAATTGTACGTTCTATGATGTGACTCAATGTTTCTAATGGGTAATCTCAATACGGATTGTGACATAGCTGACAAGATTGATTTCAAGTTAATTAAACCCTGGTAATGCAAATTCCAGAATATTGTCTTATAGCATGTTAATCATATTTCTATCTCGAACTCGAATTTACGTGGTGAACAAAATGTCTTTTGATTTAGGAAATGGGATGAAGGGTATGTGGTCAAAAGTAAAGAGGAGGGTCAATAGTGATAGTGGAGTTGACTGCATGGTTGCTTGAGAACTTTCAAACCTGGTCATGGAGTGAGGTACTGCTTGCTTGGATCACCATGATTTGACATTCATACGAGGAGGTCTGAAATAGGTGGACAGAGATCTGTGGGAAGGGAAAGATGTTTTTTTCTTTTTGGTGGTGGAAGTTATTGGAAGAGGAAGGGACAGCGAGGCTGCATGGGTAGTGAACCACATGGCTAGGTTGTGGATGGTAAGGTTGGCGAATGCTGCAGCTTGGGTGGGAGGAAAGGCTAGGTTGTGGTTGGGGAGGTTTTGACGATTTTTATTATTTATATTTCTCTTTATAGCTTTAGAATTTATCTTCCATCTTATGTCTCATCCGTGTGATTCATCACATAGGAATATTTGTTGAGGCGTGTTTCAACATTCCACCAAATGCATATTTGAATTGGGTCCCTCACGTTTTATGTAAACTTAATCACAGTTTAAGATGAATCTTCTCTTGAGTCACCTTCCAAATCATTGTTTGCACTTAGCAGCCTGTTCTTGCATCAAATAAGACTCACATGACATGAAAATTCTGCTAGCTCCCCAAAACAAAAGAACACAGTAATTAGGTCCGGTCCATCATTCATGCAGATTGAACTGGACAAGATATTGTGTCTCATTTTTTGTCTAAGATGCCCTTTTGTAGGGATTGTAGTTTCTTCAAATTTAGTTATCTCGTGCATTATTTGTGAAATTCATTTATGTTTGGAGCTCTATTTTACTGAACTTGTACGTGAATTGAGGGCTGCTCTTCAAACTAGCAAACTTTTTGGGAGAGGTGCAACTATGCCGTGGAAGACCCTAACAGCCTAACTATTCTTCAAGCCACTGTCAAACCATTCCAGTTTTATGTTCTATGATGTGACTTAATGTTTCTAATGGGCCATCTCAATAAGAATTGTGACATACATGACCAGATTGATTTCAAGTTAATTAAACCCTGGTAATGCAAATTCCATAATATTGTCTTATAGCATGTTAATCATATTTCTATCTCGAACTCTAATTTACGTGGGGAACATGATGTTTATTGATTTAGGAAACGGGACGAAGGGGCTGTGGAAAGTGTAAAGAGGAGGGTAGATAGTGATAGTGGAGTTGACTGCATGGTTGCTTGAGAACTTTCAAGCTTGGTCATGGAGTGAGGTACTACTTGCTTGGATCACCATGATTTGACATTCATTCGGGGAGAACTGAAATAGGTGGACGGACGATCTATGGGTATGGAAAGATGCTTTTTTCTTTTTGGTGGTGGAAGTTGTTGGAAGAGGAAGGAACAGTGAGGCTTCAAGGGTAGTGAACCAAAAGGCTAGGTAGTGGATGGTATGGCTGGGGAATGCTGCAGGTTGGGTGGGAGGAAAGGCTAGGTTGTGGTTGGGGAGATTTTGACAATTTTTATTATTTATAGTTCTTTTGATAGCTTTTGAATTTGTCTTCCATCTTATGTCTCATCCACATGATTCATCACATAGAAATATTTGTTGAGGCGTGTTTCAACATTCAACCAAATGCATATGGGAATTGGGTCCCTCACTTCACTAATAAGAATTAACATGTCACTTCATGTGAATTGTTGTTTTACGTAAGCTTAGTCTCAGTTTTAGTTGAATCTTCTCTTGAATCACCTTCCAAATCATTTTTAGCACTTAGCAGCCTTTGATACTTGCATCAAATAAAACTCACATGACATGAAAATTTTGCTAGCTCCCCAAAACAAAGAAACACAATAATTAGGTCCGAATTGTTCCTACATTCATGTAGGTTGAACTGGACAAGATATTGTGTCTCATTTTTGTCTAAGATTCCCTTTTATAGGGATTGTAGTTTCATCAAATTTAGTTATCTCGTGTATTATTTGTGAAATTCATTTCTGTTTGGAGCTCAATTTTACTGAACTTGTACTTGAATTGAGGTCTGCTCTTCAAACTAGCAAACGTTTTGGGAGAGGTGCAACTTTGCAGTGGAAGACCCTAAACAGCCTCACTATTGTTCAAGCTACTATCAAACCATTCCAGTTTTATGTTTTATGATGTGTCTCAATGTTCCTAATGGGCAATCTCAATACAGATTGTGTCATACATGACCAGATTGATTTCAAGTTAATTAAACCATGGTAATGCAAATTCCATAATATTGTCTAATAGCATGTTAATCATATTTCTATCTCAAACCGTAATTTACGTGGGGAACAAAATGTCTATTGATTTAGGAAATGCGACGAAGGGGCTGTGGGCAAGAGTAAAGAGGAGGGTAGGTAGTGATAGTGGAGTTGACTGCATGGTTGCTTGAGAACTTTCAAGCGTGGTCATGGAGTGAGGTACTGCTTACTTGGATCACCATTGGCAGTTAGCCGAACCATGGGCCCAAGAAATAACATTGTGTGAGTCCCTTGCTATGGTGGCCCACAAGAAATGATCTAGCTTCTGCTGGTTGGAAATCGGAGTGCCCTATGGTCTTTGAGAAAGATGTCAAAGTGGACCCTTTGTGGTCTCTAAAAAGACATAACTGATGGTCCTGGGTTACCTATGGAACATCCATCAAAGTTGAGCTTTATACACGGTCCAACTTTGGAGGAAGCCACAACGAGGCTCGTGAGTTACTCGTGTGGTTGTAAGAAAAGGAGATTGTACCAGTGTAGGTGGAAGGCTGAAGGGGGGAAGCCTTTGAACCTCTTGCAATTAGTAGCCCAGAAGATAATTGCCGCTTGGATTATATCAAACAAGGATTCAATGGAAGAGAACTGTCCTCAAAAGATATGATTGTTACGTTCTATCCAAATTTCCCAAATGAGGGCTGCCATTGAAGCCTTCCACAATATGATAAAGAGATTGGGAATATTTTTTGGGGTCACCCATTGCCATTTGAAGAGCTGAAGAAAAGCTCCCCACAAGGAATGGGCCAAAGGACAATCTATAAAGAGGTAAAGCCAAGCCTCTCTTTGCAATTGGTCAATCTCTGAAAGAGTGTAATCCAATTGATTGGCATGTGGGTGCGTGGACAATGAAGGTTTCACCGTGTGGGTGTGTGGATTGGCGTGTATTAATACTCGTTCATTCTAGCTTGGTCTTTCATCTGACTTTGAGATATGAGTTTGGCTGCTTTGTTTAAGTATCAAATGGGCTATGAAGATTCCTATGTGTATCCTTATATATACACATACATGCACATCCTATTTCTGAATGGTAATTTCAGAAACCTATAATCGAAAAGTTTTAAATACATGTGTCTTTTCCTTTCTATAATACTAGTGGAGGGCACTAAATATAATTGTGCATATTCCAAATTTTCAAATTTTAGGGCTTTTTATTTTATTTTTACTTATCAAATCCACCCGAAATTTGGAGGGTGTGTGCGCTTAGAAAGATGCAGCCTAAGAACACTATGAAAATAATTCAAATAGTGAAAATGATCAAAATAGTCCTTCAAATAATTTTTGACAATTTTTATTATTTAAATTTTTGAGCGATTTATGTATGGACACCCTTTGGGGGCTCTTATCTGGCAATGACAATGCCGGACATGAGGGCCTAGTCTTTCCACAAAGCACTAGCTAGTTTTTCTATTACCTAGAGCTCCCTCTCTCCCCAAAGTAGCAGTCTGAAGCTCCACAACTTCAAACATTTTGCCATCCTAATCTGGTACGTCTAATGGTTGTGTATTAATCTGGAGAAAATTAGATTAATGGTGGATTAGGGTTTTGCAATTCAAAAACCCTAATCCACCAGGAATTAGAGAGAGAAACTCCATCCTGATTGCACTAGGAATCCCAGATTGCTCTTGTAAATCCTGTGGACTTTGATGTCGCAATCAGCTCGATTCTTATGTCAACTCACAATCACTTTGACTCATTCATTGCAATCTCCTAAAAAGAATCATGGCATGCCAACATTGACAGTCTGCAAATGAAATCACAATATCCATGAGTTGGCTGACTTGGTTAATGGGTTTTTTCATTTGCTGTATTTTGTTGTTGTGCTTTAGATGGGGATTTGCTTTTGCTTAGAGGGTGAGGGGAACTACATGAGATGGGGATGGTTCCATTGAGAGAAATGGTGACCTTTTAAAAAGGTTTGGATGTATTTTTTGCTCTTTTGGTTAGAATTTGATAAGTTGAGCATGTTTGTGTCAGCCTCAACCTTGAGAAATACTTGTTTAATCCCTTCCCAATCCCATGACACCAGGTGTCCTCTCTCCAGGTCTCCCTCAGCTCTTAGGGAAGTAGCATGCAACTCTCCCGCCCACCGCCCTTTCTTTTCACTCATTGACCCTGTTGTTTCCTCAGTTACCTTTTTTAAGTCTCTCCTCAACATGGAAGGTGGACACGCGCTCTCCTCTTGTGCCCCTTTCCCTCCATTTTCACCCATCCAGTCGTGTTCCTGCGAGTGTTCACATGCAAACTGCTCCTTCATAGCGTTCTGCCCAAGCTCATGTACCCTCGCTCTTTCTTTTTACATTGCGAAGTGGCCGGACGGATGTGCTTCTTCTCTTTAATTGGCTGTGGGTCGCTCCCCAGTCAGTCCCCCACCTTTTCTCCACTTAGTTTCGCTCCCCAGTCAGTTGTGTCCATTCTGGGAATAAACTTTGCTATGTAGCTACATTTGATGCTCTCTCTCTCTCTCTCTCTCTCATTAACTCTTTGTTTGAGTGATTGCTTTTATGTTACTATTTCAAAGAAGGCAAACTTATCTTCTGTAATGCACTGGTGTGGTGGCAAAATGGAATGGTTAGCTTTTAAACTTTAAAACATCTATTTCTTAAATAATAAGAATATATTTGCTCTTGCGGGCTGCTTATGCATTGAGTGAAATTTTGATATTAAGAAAATCATTTTTGTTTCTTGTTTATGTAAATATTGGTAGCATGAAAGAGGGTTCATACTTTTATGAAATCTCCAAGCACAATAAAGTATTTCATGAATCTATTTACTTGTTTGGTATTATATTTGATGAATGGAAGGAACCTTATTTAATTACAAAATATTATTAAAGTGCATTTGGCACATCATATCAATGAAATACATAATGAACAGTGTTACATGCAGTTTCCAGCTTTCCCGTTGCCAAACAGATGAAAGTACGAGCACCACAGTTTTATCAAACAGGGTTTCTAGCTTTCATCCTACTAATTTTCACCTGCATCCCAGAATTCAGGAAAGTCATCAGCAAGGGTGATTCCCAGGGAGACTGCAGTGGAAGTTAGTCTCATCCCTCTGATTTTCAAGGATTTTGTGTGTTTAGTAATGGTGTTGGCTGAGAATTTGCAGGTGGTTCGATCACTTGAAGTTATTGGTTAGTTTGGTAGTTATTTTACGTGATTTGGCTTATGATTTGACTGCATGTCTGGAATGTGGTTTCTTTTAGTGCGTTTCTACAGTTTCTTGTGTTGAAGTTCTATTTCTACGACTCTTTTGTGGTGCATTCCTGTGTGAATTTCATGCTGACATTTTGATTTGATATTTTACTTGGTAGGGTTTATCTAGGATTTAGGGGGAATTGTGTTTTCTAGGTCTATTTTTTGGTTTTTAGTTTTTTTAATTACTATTTTTTTGGTAGGGTTATAGTCTTTCTTTCTAGTCTCCCTTATCTGTTTTCTAGAAATTTTCTATTTAGTTATGTAGCAGAAGCGGATGAGATTTTTCTAGTTAAACGATCACACTAGGTCTTCATTGAGCTTATCTATTTTTTGTTCATGCGTTTATATCTATGATTTACCTATGTTTGGATTTGGACTTCTTAGTATATTTTTTTCGGATATGTATTGTTGAAGTTATGCTTCTGGGGCTTCTCTTGTGTTGGCTTATCATGTATTTTCTTTTCCTTTTTTTTTTTTTGGTATATGCATTTTTTTAATGGAAAGGCCATATTTTGGAGATTCTAGAATTCTTATAGGGTTTAGGGAAGTAAATTGTATTTATGGGGCTGATTTTGTGGTTTCTAGTGGAATTTTCTTATTCTTTTTTTTTCCCCCTAGTGGAAGGTTTAGCTGTCAAAGATGATTTGGGATCTGAGACGCTTAAAAATTTTATTGGTTATCTTTATGATGTGTATGAGACATTGTGATATATGATGAAGATGAAGAATGAAGGTGGAATTATCATGTAAGTTTGATATAATGAGGAATTTTGAGTTCAAGTTATGTAATATGTCTTAGAGATGTACATTGTGAGTACTTGGCCATTGTATTGAGTTTAATTATATTTTTTTGAGTAAGGATTTTGTAAGGGACCGATTAGGGTTGAATTTTTATATTCAAATGTGTGTAAACCATGTTTGTAGGCTGGAATATATGTATTATGGTTTTGTATTGAGATATTCATGCATTTAAACCCTTGAGTTTTAATACAACGGAAAATTTTTAAAAGAATGCTTTTCTAGCCCATTGGTCTTATACCCACCAACATGTTAAGAATGAATTTTATGCAATATTTGGGCTTCTTTTTCTCCTATTTTTGGCCTAATTTCAATTCATTGATATTCTGAAACTCTCTCAAATTCCATGGAAATAATCCGATTATAAGAGATATACCAATGGTTATGAACTCTCTCTCTCTCTCTCTCTCTGTCTCTCTCTCTCTCTCTCTCTTCTCTTCTCTCTCTCTCTCTCTCTCTCTCTCTCTCTCTCTCTCTCTCTCTCTCTCTCT